TCGACATGCTTCGAAAAGCTGCCCTTCCAAGAGAGGTTAAGTGACCTGAACTAGGACCTTACTGGAATAACTATGGGATAGGCTAGTTCGGGTCCTTCAACCTCTGGTTCTTCGACCCATTTGGCGGAGACCTTCGACGCGTGTTTCGACCTGTCTCGGCGGGTCGAGTCGGTCCCCGGCGAATTCTTCACGAGGCGAATTCGTTTCGGGTAAGGGCCGTTTGGTCGGGCTTTCGGCAGCCACGGTGGTGGTTTATAAGGCCAAAAGGTTGCTCAAAAAGACTGCTAGAATCCCGCCCGCAACAAGAGAAAAGCCAAGACCATCAAACACCTTCTTCATCCTTCTTCCTTCCCCCAAGCAACAAGCGTCTGAAAATGGTCCTCAAAAAAACGAAGCATTCGGACATGTCCAACGCCGAATTCCGCATCTTCAAGAGGTTCCCATCCTCCTCCAGCGCAGCTTTCATCCCTGTTCATCCCCGTTCGGCGCAGTTTTCCGCGTGGCACCACCGAAAGCACGTCGCTCCGCATGCACCTCGCGCCTCGGCGAAGGAAGCCAGCCACGAGCCACGAGCCACGCGGCCTGAGGGGGACCGACCCCGACGGACGGACCCAACGCCATGTCTCCAGCGGTAGGGAAGGCGGAAAACTCCGCTGAGAGACAGCGTGGAGGTTGGTCCCTCCCCCCCTGCTTCCAGCAGAGGTTGAAGAACCCTAAAGACGAAAAGTGGATGTTGGTCCCTTCCCCCCTGCTTTTTCATCTGCTTCAATCCCCCAAAAGAAGCAAGTAGTTAATACCATTCTCATCAATCGTCATGAGTCATGAAGAGAAGGTCGCACATGGTCGCACATGGATTGGGTTGTGGACGTCAACCAACACACCTTCGATGGGTATGCTTATGGCAGTGATGGTCGTGTTACGTCCTAACTGTCGCTGCTGGCCGCTGGCTGCGCCGCTGTTCTTCTTTCTTACAGTAAGTGACTGTTTGTCTCTTTAGGCCGCCGCTGGGCGCCCCCTTCCACATTCAGAATCAGAGCGGATCCCCACACTGCACCCCTGCACTCCACGCCTGAGCAAGCACGCCGCGTCAGGGAACCTGCGAGCAAAGAAATGAGGAACAAACGCACACAGCGATTTCATGGTGTTGACAATGTGGGATGATCTTTCTTTTGGCGTGGTGAGTGGTGGTCGTGTTACGTCCCCTCATGCCCGTGACTTCCACAAAAAGTTAACCGTCGCTGCTGGCCGCTGACACCGCTTTTCTTCTTCGACTTTTTGTCGCTTTCGGCCACTGGGCGCCTCCGTCGCTTCAGACTTCTTGAAAGTGGAAGGCTTGTGAGGCGCCCAGCAACTGGGAAGAAGAAAAGAGACAGCTCTTGTCCGTGGCACAATCAGAGAGGTTGGGCGAAGGGCTGGGTTCTCACCACAGTGACGGCAAGGTGTGCTGCTTCACCAGCCGTTTCGCCTCCTCCTCACTGATCTTCTTCACCACCTTGCCAGCGTCTAGCTGCCAATAGCTGCCGTCCGCAAGGCGCTTCACTCCGACACCCGTGTCTTCGTCCGCTTCGTATGATCCCACCTCCACGTCTCCGCTGGCGTACCGATACATGCCTCGCCCGTGGATCTTGTGGTGGGCAAATTCTCCCTCGTACGTGTCGCCGTTCGGCCAGGTGTATTTTCCGCGTCCCTCCCTCTTGTGCCTCACGAAGTCTCCTTCGTAGACCGCGCCGTTCGCGTCGACGCCGCGAGCTTTGCCGGTGATAGCGCCGTCCTTGTCCACCGGCAGCTTCTGGCCCTCCACCAGGGGCTCGAAGATCTCGCTGCACATCACCACCTCCGGACCGATCTCCTTTTTGGCCCACTGCTCCTGCGCCTTCTCCTTCGCGGTCTGGAAGTGGTCCGGGGGAAAGACCACTTTCTCGGTCTCTAGGGAATAAATCCCGATCCGTGGCACCTTCAGCCAGCGCGCCATCTTCTCTTCTGCAATTTGCATGAA